CCCCCCCCCCCCCATAAAACCGCGCCTGATGGGTGATCGGGAGGGGTCGGGGGAGAATTACACATTTAACACACCATTTCTCACGTTAGGAGACTCGTAACCCACAAAGGAGCAGCCCCATACTTGAATGAACGTTTCACGACATGACGCAATGGCAACGCCTGCAACGGGCTGGGTTAGGCCAACCCGCCAAGCAGCGGTGTGAAGACGGTGACCCACCCCGCCCACGGTGCCCTTCGGGCGAGAAAACAAGAAAACAGCTGTCCCACTTGCTTCTTCTTTACCCCTAAACCCCCCCCCCCCCTCCCTCTCTCTCCCGATGCAAGCCGAGGCCGAGACCGCACCGAAGTCTCCTCCCCTCCTGAACTTTCGGAAACTGTGTGGAGCTAGCGGAGCTCGGCAACAGGTATCTGTTTTGCCCGGCGTTAACGAACGTGAAAATAAATCGTACTCGTTGCTAATTTTAACTAAAAGATTGGGTATTAAATATGCTTTGAGCCATGGATCGAGAAAGCAACTTCTGTTGTTTGCCCAGCAGAAATGCTGAACAAGGGGTACGTATACAGTATAGTGTTGTCTTGTAGTGATGTATTAGTTTGCTTGGTTAGCTCCAGCAAAACATTCCGTTACTTTCTGAGGTTTCTTATCAGAATTTTAAAAAGTCCATTGACGTACATTTAAAAAGGAATAGTAATTTAACCTTATTTTACTTTGGTCCAGTTTGTAGACTGTTTTAGTCAACGCATAACCTCTGCGCTATGAACAAGCTGTCAGAAATCCTTTCTAAAGCTTTTTTTTTAAAAAAATAATAACCTCTGCTGCATCTTTGCTAACTTTTTCGCTTATTATCTTTTCTTTTTTCACATGTTTACAAATTCTTCAAATTCAGCATGACTGGAGAAATCAGAATTTTGTTTACAATCTTATTTTCAAGTAAACAAATGGTTGAGGCATAGAGGTTCCCTATGATTGGGGCAGGTAATTTTGAAGATTTTTTTAATTGTCTGATATTGTCTTATGGTCTGCTTGTTGCAGGCCGTGTCACAACTCAGATACCGCATTTTACCTCAATTGCCCTATCACACTACATATCCATAAGATGCACAACGTGTAGGTTAACTATTGGCTGTGTCAGTAACAACCATGTAGAATTACCATAACACAACTATATCATGAACAAGAAGAGATGAAACAAGCATCAAAGCAACAGCATGAGATGGCTGAAACAAACACAAACAAGTCTGTGAAGCAAAGCCAAGATAACGTAAGCTCTGTTACAACAGAACCAAAGACTTCTTTCTTAATGACAAAAACTACTTAAACCAGACTCAGTCATAAGGATGAAACAAAATAAAATGGTGAACGCAACGCTACCAACATATTTCTTTAGTTTTGTACTTTCAGATATGGTTGGGAGTAGCAGCTTAGAAAAATGTGTAAGTTTGTCCATATGTTGTGTTACTCATCAAATAAACAGCTAGTGGTATTGATTTCTCCTTTGAAAGTAGCATATTTTGCAACCGTTGCCCGTAATCATCCCATCATGAGATGCGTGTTTGGGTTTTGTTGAGCAGTAAGTAATGTTATGCCATCTTATCATGCTAGTCATGTTTAATATCTTTCGGTAATTGATAATTGCTTCTTCTATGTGTTTTACTCTGTGCTGATTCTTTTAAAAACCAGCTGTAACACTGTCTTATACATTTTTAATTACAGACTGTTGGAATAAAATATTAAGAAGTATTAAAATAACTTGCTTGAGTGCAAGGAAAATTTTAATACCAACTGCAACTATGCGCACAGCTGAGGATGACTTTAAAAACTGCTATTCTGAATTAATCTGCTCTGTTGCAATATACATACACAATTTACAAGGAATTTTTGCCCTCAGATTCTCTCTCTTTGTCTACTTTGCTGCTTCTTGTTGTCCTTGGTAAGAAATTTTGGTTTCATAAATGATTGAACACTTCATTAAGAAAGAAGTCTTTGGTTCTGTTGTAACAGAGCTTACGTTATCTTGGCTTTGCTTCACAGACTTGTTTGTGTTTGTTTCAGCCATCTCATGCTGTTGCTTTGATGCTTGTTTCATCTCTTCTTGTTCATGATATAGTTGTGTCATGGTAATTCTACATGGTTGTT